CCCTCTAAATGTTCTGGCTATACGTGCACTTTAAATTCTGGTTATCGCTTATATAACCACTTATTTTTTTAGCTGAAATATTTATGAATATATCAAACCTTCTTGAGCTCATATGAAAATGTTGCAAAATGTATGCCATCAATTCCTTTGCTGCTCCATCGTGTTGTAGACTTAAATATCTTCCAATTGTGGTTCGCAAATTACTCATCACTATATCATATTGATGTTCAAAAACTCGTTTTCTCAAAGATGTTACTGTTTTTTTCTGTATAATATGCATCACAAAATTTACATCCCAAATAATAAATGACTTGTTCAGTTGAACAATCTGCTTCATGTTTTATATAGATTGTTTTTCCAGCAGGAACAATTTCCTCCTCTAGTATGCATTTGCGCTGATCACAGTGTGTATATTTAATGTATTCCCTCTAACACATGGATCCCTTTTCTTAGTTTAAAATGACTCTTTGTTTACTTATCCTTTAACGATTTTGCTTTTCAACAAAAAAATTGTGGGTTTACCTCCCACTCACTTTCTCACTTAAACTCCCACATCCCAACATTATTGGGGAGGGGAGATTTAAAATCTCTGGTAATTTTCGATAAGACATATAAAGTTGGCGACTCAATTTTTAGTGTCCATTATTTTACCACTGCCTCAGGTTTTGCATTCAGTACCTATCTCCCCAAGCCGTCCTCGCTCTAGGTAGATGCGGGAATATGGGCAGCTCTACCTACAGCGAGGACGGCTGGACGATTTATGAGGTGATATAATGCAGTTTGAAGTCCGGCCGTCCTTCTCCATCTCTCTTAACTGAAACTCTGTACCGCAGTACGGAGCTTTGCCTGGGAGAGAATGTGAAGAAGCCTAAGATTTATAGCTGTGATTCGAGTGATCACGATTGCAATGCTTTCCAGGCTTGAATGCAAATATTAAAGAAATGCATATTTTTATATATATATTAATAATTATGCATTTCTTTAATTTTTGCAAAAGGTGGACTTATTTTTTTAATTTGAAATCAAGCAAAACTTTATGCAGGCTCTGACATTTTGCCACAGGGACATTGTTCAGCATTAAAGGGGGTAGACAAGGTACACTGGGCTGGCAAAGAGCTGCTGCATAGTGCATAGCATGAAGATGAAATCCAAGTGTTGCTCTGTCTTCATGTCTGAGGATCAGAATTAGATTTTCTATATAAGGTCTTATTGCAACTGTGAAGGAATGATTCACACACTCAACAATGTGAAATTACTCTAGTCTAGGGGGTTATTGGACCTCTTGCAATGTTGGGAAAACATAATGAACTGTTAGGAACACTTACTTACCAGAACCCCACTACCATGCTTTGCTCCCTGGGCCTCTTTGCTCATGCACAATGTAGCACCCCATTGCCAGGCCATTCATGCACACCAGTGCACAACCCTTCCCAGCTGGCATACGTTTAAAGGTTCATGGCACTTTTCCTATAGCATGCAGTTATTGCATCACTACTGCATGGTAGTAGTTGGGGCATAGTCAGTACTAGAAATATGGCAAGCATGAATCTTAGGCAAACAAGGCTTAATTGTTTCCTTAAACAGTACTGAGCAATGTTATCAGTCAGACTGGAATATTTATAGTTTTCACTTCACTGACTATGGATATAGACAGCCATTTCCTGGGACTAAAACAAGAAGGTAAAAATGGGCCTGTACATTTTCCCCATACAAAGTGCAGCTTTTGGTACACTTAATTTGGGAACAAATTGTTTGTTTCTAGGACTATTTTGTATTTTGCAAATCAAGGTTTTTCCTTTATTTCTCAAAAAGGAAAATGTTTAGTATACAATTTATATTAGTAAATTGTCAGCTCCTGGGCCTAAAACAGTAATGGACTTAGTGAAAACAAACTTTTTTTCCTTGATAAGTACAGCTTTTAGTACAGTACGTGTGGATAGTCAGCTCCCAGGACTAAAAAAGTTGAGCTTTTTAACCTATCAAGTTTGAAAATGGATTGTCAGCTCCTAGTTCTTACACACCAAAGAATTCTGTTAAAACTAAACTAAGTTGCATCCTAAAGGCTGCTTCACATCATATTCAGTGCGTTGCAGCATGGTTCGTTCCCAGAACGCACTGGATCGCATAAACCAAGCCTCCTGCTTTCTGGGGCAGGAGGGGGCATGGTGGTGCCATTCATGTCAATGGCACTGTAGGCACGCCTCCCGCCCGCAATGTTATCACCTGCACCAGAACATGTGGTAGAGCGATGCCTGCGTTCCGGTGTGGTGCGATGGCAAAAAATAGAGCATGCAGTTTGGAAACAAATATCAGTCCTTGGGACCTGACCAGTAATGCATTTTGCCAAAACAGGACTCTTTTTATACAAAATGTCACAGGGCTTAAAAAAGCAACAGGGGTTAATCTTTTAAGAAAATGTTACCTAAGCAGATTGCATGGCAAAATTAGGGACTATGTGAAATCGCTAATTTTACAGAGAAATCAGTTTTTGCTAACATGGGGTACCGTTAGAGCATAGCATGTGATAATGGTATTCTCAGCCTCACTTCACAGAGATTTTCCAGCTTGTAGTACAAAATCTTAGTGCCAGCAACTGGGAGTTATCATCACTGGGATTGTTTTACTCCATAACTAACCCTTTACACATGCAAACAATAGCTGTCACCACGTGAAACATGCGCCGATCACAGTGTTTAAAACAAGGTAGCTTTTTTTTAAAAGGCAAGAATATTTAATTTCTGATTAGAGCAATTATATTTATGGTGGAAGTGGTGCAAGAAAAATATTTACAGAAAAGATTTGACAAAAAAAAGAATAGAGCAAGAGTAAAATAGATGGGATTAAAAATGAAAGATACTTAGCAAAGTTGGCCTGGTCTTTGTTTCAGTCCATGGTCCAATGATTTATTAAAGAGGAACTTTACCCACCTTCTAGACTGTGTCACTGAGCCAACTCAACCAATCAAAAAAGCTAAGGGGTGTGGAGCAGGAGAGCTGAAGTGTTTATTATACTTCAGCCAGTTTTTCTTTCTGTATCAATAATTCCAGATGACCTTATTTTGCAATCTGACAACAAACGTAGAATGAAATCTACGTTAGTATCTAAATGATTGTGATTTACTTATATATTTGGATATGCATGTACAGTGACCGGAAAGCCTCTTGTGCTTGGATTGGAGGATTGATCTCTAAAATGTAGAGCCCACTGACCTGACCCTTTTGAAGGTGGAAAGGATTGGAATACTGATGACTATGTCATAATGCATGTTATAAAGTCTATGGTTGAAAGATAATCAGATAGAAATGCAACTTGGTGGGTCTCTTGTATCTAAAAGGGGGGAATTTAACTGGAGCAGACAAAATTTGGAGCAGTTGCCCATGGCAATCAATCAGCTTCTCTCTCTTTAGTTTCTTCAATTAAGATTTGTTTGAAAATGAAAGAGAGATTGCTGATTGGTTGCCGAGCACAGCTGCTCCAGATTTTGTCTGCTCCAGTTTTGATAAATTCCCCTCAAAGTGTTTTAAGCTATTTCAAATGCTGTTTAAATCACTTACAATAAGTGCTGCTCGTTTTGTTTAAAAGTTTTAGCTTCCTGCAGAATCAACTGGTCTCCTGAACCAGTACCGGTCCTGATATCCTGTTTTAGTGTGGCTTTTTACCCTTGCAGGGTCCTATGGAGCCATCCTTGTGTGTGCTAGTTAGCTGTATGTGTCTTCACACAGGCATGGCAAGGCTCTCCCCTTTCCCCTGTTTCTTGCTCCTTCCTTCTCCAAGCTAGCCTATGGATAATTGCTGAGACTGCTCTGTCCCTTGTGATCTTGTACTAGGCAGGACGTTCAGGGAAAATGAGCTGAGTCGGAGCCAACTGTTTGGAAACATGAGTGTAAGTGTTTGGGTAAAAAATGTAAAGAAAAACTTTGTTAAGTGTAGCGCTCACCCCCGAAGGAGCCGCTGAATATTGAAATAGGTTCTCCTACCTGTTGGTTCCAGCTGCCAGTCCCCTTTGATCAGCAACAGCACACCGACACTCACGGAAGTATGTTATTGAAAACAGAGTTTGAGCATTGAATACCACTTTAAATGCTTAGCTATGCTTTGCATATTAGAAATAAAAGCAGAGGGATGGTAAAATGCTAGCACGTGCCCTCTTGATACGAAGTAAGAATATTGCTGACAGGTCCACTTTAAGGGCCAGTTCACACCTGCTCCGTGCGTCAATTGCACAGTTCTGTGTGGTTAGCGCACGGTACTGTGCATCGCATCTACTGTGCATTAACAATGCGGGAGGTGCACTGCATTGCCATTCATTTGAATGGCACCCCAAACGCACCTCTCTCCTGCAATGCAACTGTACCGCAATGCGTGGTACTGCAATCCTGCACATTGCTGTACGATTTAAAAAGCAGTGCACACACAACGCTAGATATTGCTGTACCGCACATTGCAGCGCGCTCGATTGCATTGCAGGTGGGAGGAGCGTTTGGTGTGCCATTCAAATGAATGGCAATGCAATGCACCATTAATGCATGGTAAAAGCACAATTCCATGTGATTCATGCACAGTACTGTGCAACGCACCGCTGCACCGTACTGTGCATTAATCACATGGAATCATGCTATTGAATCAAATCGTAATATAAAATATTTGATATATTCAGACTACTTTTTTATTTATGGGGGAATTATGTAAATGTTCTTTCTCACAAACGTTTATATAGTTATTCCATCATTAGAAAGACATGGTGTGACCGTGTTCATCTACAATGTACATGAGAACAGTGACATCTAGCCCTCCATCATCAGAGTCGCTGCAAGTAATGTCACCATCATCCTCCCCAACTCTGCGCTTTACAGACAAGCCACTGACACCTCTGCAATATTTATTACAGGCTTGGAGATCAAAACCCATCAATGTCATTCAAATCTGAAGACACGCCGCCACAGCGCCTAGCAACAGTACCCGCCCACTAGCCCTGAGATTCCATTGGTTACTCGGCTGACGGCGGTCACGCCCTTTGCCTGTGATTCGTTAGTGCGTCAATGTGACCGCAGACTAAATGGCGTCTTTAAGGTATCGCCGTTTTCTAAAACTATGCGAAGAATGGCCAGTGGATGAGACGAGGCGAGGACGGGATTTGGGAGCCTTCCTGAGGCAGCGGGTGGCTCAGGTATTCCGGGAAGGAGAGAATACGCAGGTAATTGGGGAGAAGCGCTGCAACTAGCTGGGTCTGGGGCCACGTGACTCTCAGCGGAAGGTAGGGGGCGGGCGAGAGCCGATAGTAGTCCATGTTGTTCCGGGCTGTCATTCAGGATAATGTGTGGAGAACGCTGTCTGTGTCATTTACGTAATTGCGAGTGGGGTGTTTTTCTTCTATTGAGCTGCTCATATGCTGGATGATGTTTGTACCTTATCAGAACATTCGCTAATGCCAGCAGAAACTAGACCAATGTTGTTTGACATTTTTATTCTTTTCTTACATTTGATCCTAGAATAAATGGAGTTTACCAAATGGAAACCACGCTGGCTATACACTATATATTCAGCCCAACATGCCGAACGAGCACCCATTCTATATTCAGCCCAACATGCCGAACGAGCACACTTTTGCTAGTTATAAATGGGACATAATAAACTATGCATCTACATTAACTTAAAGCTAAATTCCAGCCTTGCCCCAGTCTTGCATAGTAGTACAGGCTCTTCTCCAGCTTCATCTGGCTGGAGGACATTCAGCAACTTCTGGGCCTTTCCTCCCCTTCCAGGCTGTCCCTGGCCCTCCCCTTTCATTCATTGGATTTCAGTCCTTTGAATCATAAAGCCTCCGCATCACATGTGGACATTACATAGGGTGGTCTTCATGTAAAGACAGTCTTCCTTGGGACACCCACTTTTCTAGCACGACAGCAAACCCATTAAGGCATTTAGATATATATGATGTACAACCTCAAATTAATAAAAACAAGCCCTGGAGCTTGCACCTTCAAAAGTTGACCGTGATAGTCTCCACATTCCATCCTAATTGTTGCTGTTCCTGCATTTACATTTCAAAGCCTTCTTTAGACCTCTGAATGCTCTGAACTCTTGAACGCTATTGGGTCTCGTTCACACCTAGGCGTATTGCATATGCGCGTCTGTCACCGCGATTCGCGGTAAAAAAGTCGCGCGACAAACGCGCGTTTCCGAAGGCTACTTGGCTGTATCCCAATGGAAACGCGCAACAAAACGGCCCAAAGTAGTACCTGTACTTTTTCAGGCGTGGGCCGTTTTGTAGCGCGTTAGGGACGGGCGGAAATACGCCAAGGTGGGAACGAGACCTTTGAATACAATGGGATTTATATTTTTGAGCGTTTTGTAGAGCGTTCGTCGAGCGTAGAACGCGCTACAAAACGTTCAGGTGTGAACGAGGGCTAAGGCTTCATGCACACAGACTGATAAAGCATTGCTTTCAGATCTGTACGCCATTTTAGTTTTAATGTCTCATAATGCAGCTTTATAATATCCATGCACATTGTGATGTATAGATCCCTACTCTAGAGTAGCGTTCAGGGAGGTAAAAACAAATGCACCACGTCTGCGTTCAAAAGATGAGTATACTGGTGTCCATTTACAAGTGTACACATACATTTATTCTAGTGGTTGAGGATAAATATTCTAGCCACTAGAATATGTGTCTATGCTACATTGCATTACACATGTTTTTCACGCTGGAGCACGTGCCAGCCAATGGCAGCAAGATCTATTGCAGATAGATATAAGCATTTAATGTCACGTGTGTGTGTGAGCTCTAACGTGCAAATGCTGACACTTCTTCATCAAGTTAACCTACCTTCTCTCCCCTTCAACACTTTACTACTGGCCTATCACCATAATGGGCAGGAATTCTGTGCAAAACAAAGGCAGAGAGGGTAGTCGGGTTCTCTCCACACATATAAATGTAGACATTTGCACTTTGCATAATCTAAGGCTAAGTTTGTAGTGCTGCAGTCTGTTTAGTAGCATATTACCAGGTTTACTTTAAGATCGTGCTACTTCTATATTCTTGCGGAAATGTGTGGGTGCATAAGCTATAGTAGGTGAATAAAAGCTAAATATGATGAGCTTGCATGTGACAGCTGATAGAGAAATAAGAGTTAACAACCACTGTTCTCCAGCTGCTGACGCTGGGAGTGTACTTGGTCACATTTGACAAGAAAATATGACAAGTCGCACATGTTACAATCTAGTGTTGGCAACCAGAAAAATGAAAGAATTCTATATGTGGTCAGAACGTATGTCTCTGATCTCTCAAAGAAGCTCGACAGCAAGCTACTTAATGCAATGATGCGATATGTCACAGTAGCCCTCTCAGCCTTTCAGACTCACGCATTCGGTTAATATGTTTTCCTAAGCTGGGGCAGAATGAATTGTTTGGTAGCGCACTGATCAGATTCACGGCTTGTCCTGGGCATGAGATTTATAGTCCATTGCTTATTGTCAATGCTTGCATGGAAAAAGAAAGCAACATTTTTTTGAAGGCACAATTTTTCCTATGAATATATTTGTTTTTTTTCCCTTTTGTTAACCAGGTAAAGTTTTTAGCTTGTTGTAAAAGCCATGTGAGATTAGCAAGCTTATCGTCAGTGGCGGGATTGCTATGCAGGACACATCTGGGCACTGAAACACTCGTCCGCTTGTATGTGTAGCTCCCTTGTGGGCTGGATGAATGAGGCAACAATGGTAACTGCTTAGGCTGTGTTCACACCTGGGCGTTCCTAATAGGCGCGTTTTTGCCCTTGCGTTTGAAGCATGTTTTTCTGTGTGATGAAACGCGCGTTAGACGCTTGTTTTTTTAACCTCCCTGGCAGTATGATTTTTATTTTTTTTTTCCTCATCTATTTTTCGTTTTTTTTAACTTTTAAACTTGCCTCCGGTTCCGCCGCCCAGCGATGCGGACGCTCGCAAGGGACGAATGCCGGCAGCGGCCGGAGGACACAGCGGGGATCGCGGAGAAGGTAAGACCTACGCTGTATTCCCGAGTGTGGCTCGGGGTTACCGCTTTGGTACAGAAAATTAACCCCAAGCCACACTCGGGAATACCAATGGATACCCGCTGAAATCTGCCCCTACGCGCGAACAAGAACCCCAAGTACTTTTTCGCGCGTAGGGCGTTTTTCAGTGCGACAAATCGCGCTGAAATACGCCCAGGAGGGAACAATGCCAATAGGGATTAATAGGATTTCACTTCTTGAGCGTTTTTCAGCGCTGAAAAACGCTCGGGTGTGAACCCAACCTTAGATCAGTCGAATACTAGCAGAAATGGGATGGGTGCACATAGGCAGAGCAATACAAATGTCAATAAAAAAAACAAAGGCTTTTGTTACCTATATACAGTATTTGTAAATATATATAACGCCACACTGCCCCATCAAGGTACCTTTTATAAAGTATGGCCCCTACCTCAGAACTATCCAAGTTATCAGTTATGGAACACTAACACGGTTATGCAAAAAGGGTGAAGGGTTTGGAGAAGGTGGGAGAAGTGAACAATCTAGGACAACAAAGCTGAACTGGAAAGTGAGCTGAATTGGAGAATTTTTCCAAATCGGCTATTTTGTCCTAGATTGTTCCCTTCTCCTGTCTTCTCCAAACTCTTCACCCTTTAGTGAATAACCCTGTTAATAACTATGCCTAAATCCTGAGCTAGTTTCTGCTAGTTTTTAGATTGATCTTGTAATACCATTATTGTTTGGTTTGGTACAGAAACACTCTGGGGGCTTTCAGCTGCCATGACCAATTTTGGGTTTCCAGTGTGTTGCTATACCTTTTTTGAGGTGAGGACTGCCTGCTGGTAACCTGTCCTTAATTTATAATTAGGAAGAAAGTTAGGACTCTTAGCAAAATGTTGCACCTACTACTATAAGTGGGCATTAGTTTGGTAGGGAGGGTATGATTTACTGATCCACAACAAATGTGCAGGTCAGGAGTTCTCACTTAAGTTGTCACTTGCTATGGGATATCGATGCCAAAAGTTGTCCGAGAGCTAGCAATTCAGAAGATGTTTGTCCGTTGTCACTTTGCATTCCCTGTAAAACTTTTAATTTATCCTGCACACTAAAAATAAAACTTAAAGCTGATCTCTAACCTCTCAAAAAAGTGAAGCTGGTAGGTATGTGGGAATATAAAAATGTATAGACAGTATGTTCATATACTGTATATATAACTCCGTTGTCAAAGGATTTCTAATACTTTTTAGCCAGTGCAGTGATATAATGCCACTGTCAGAGCACAGCTTGGTCAAGGAAACACTCCCAGGTTGCTGATTAGACAGTGAAAGAGCAGCAACACACTGAGGAGATGACATCTCTGCCCAATCTCCCTCTCTCCTGCTGTCTGCGTGTTCCCTGACAGCACATGTTTATACTGCAGCACATGATTGCCTCCTACTGCGCCTGCCTTTCCCACTAACCGTACTAAAGTGGCTGAAATGATTACTAATTCAGGTACTTGCACTTTCTGCATTTGAAAAGGCTTCTCATGATTTTTATTGAATACATAATAAGATTGATTTTCTTTTGAATTTTTTTAAATTGCCAGATATTTTGATTTTAAAACTGTAATTCAAGTAAACTCCAGTGCGCTGTGGAAATATGCAGCATGACTGCATTTGTTCTCACCAAACCTTATAGTGTGAACAGGTCACATAGAAAACCATTGTTACTGTTACAGGCTTTCTTGATGGCCCATTAGCAGACTTGAAAGCTCTGTTACTTCTAGTGTAATGGTTAGCTAGTGTCTGCTCCCCACCTTCAGGTCATGACCCAAGTTGGCACAATAGGTGGTCTTACGTAGGATAAAATAGAGGGTTTGGGATTTCTGCCTAGATACACCCTGAGGCCTAAAAATAGTTAGAAATGCAACCTATTAAGACTGACCAGGCAGCAGTGTACTTCCAACAGGAAATTTGTATTGGTTCCTGTCATATTGCCCCATCAAAATGTGCTTACAGACATAAAATCAGTGTCCACCATGTTATCTGGTCATATTTGCTGCTGCGTTTTGGTGGAGGATACTGATCATATGGCTGCTATGGTGGGTTTGAAGTAAGAGCTGTATATATGGCCACAGTAAGGAGGTGGTTAACAACTTTAACTATACCTGGAGTAGAGGGAGATGTATATATGACTTGTATGTGCATGGGGGGAGAATTGTACACAT